AGGAGGGAGAGAGAGAGAGAGAGAGAACCAAAGGAAAAAAGTTTTTCAGTCATAAATATTGTTTTGTTTTATGTGTATGAGTATATTGTCTGCACGTGTGTAAGTGCACTGTGTCATGCATTACCCTCGGAGGTCAGAAGAGGGCATCTGACTCCCTGGAACTGGAGTTACCGACAGTTTTTATCCGTCCTGTGGGTATTGGGAATCAAACCCAGGTCCTCTGCAAGAACAGCCAGTAATCTTAACCACTGAGCCATCTCTCCAGCCCCATAATATTATTTTATAAACACATATGTATGTTGTTTATATTTTTTAGTTTATATTTTTAGTATTTTTAATTTTTTTATTTTATTTTATGTATATGAATGTTATGCCTGCCTGTGTAAGTACACCCATGTTGTGCAGTGCTCAAAGAGGTCAGAAGAGGGCATCAGATCCCCTAGAACTGGAGTTATGGACAGTTGTTAGCCCCCATGTGGCTGCTGGAATTCAAACCTGGGTTTTCTGCAGGAACAGCCAAGTGCTCCTAATAGCTGAGCCATCTCTCCAGCCCCTTATTTTCAGTATTTTTGAATTGAGTCTGTGTGTGTGTGTGTGTGTGTGTGTGTGTGTGTGTGTGTGTGTTTATGTCTGGGTGGGTATGTGCACATGAATGCAGATACCTGCACAAGTCAGAAGAGGGCCTCAGATCCCCTGGAGCTGGAGTTATAGGTGATTTTGAGTCAACCAACCTAGGTTCTGGGAACTGGACTCAGTCCTCTGGAAGAGCAGGAAGTGCTCTTACCCATTGAGCCATTTCTGCAGCCCTTTTTATTTTTGAGTGACTTTGGTAGAAGGTAAGTTTCTTCCTAAAGTATTTGGTAATTTTCCTGGGCAAATTAATCATAAATATTAAAGAAAACGGGTGGAGAGATAGCTCAGTGGTTAAGAGAGCTTGCTGCTCTTGCAGAGGAATAGACTTCAGTTCCCAGCACCCACATTAGGTATCTCACAAAGCTCCTTTAACTTCAGTTCCAGGGGATCTGGTGCCCTCTTCTGACCCCCACAGGCACCTGCACATATGTATGCACACACGCACACACGCACACACACACACACACACACACACACACACATACACACTGACATCAATAAAAGTAAAGTTCATTGCATTAAATATTTTGGTTAGTTTTAAAGCATAATTTGGGGGTCTGAAAGATGGTTCATTCATTAAAAGCACTAGCTGCACTTGAGAGGACTCAGGTTGGGTTCCCAGCATCCACATAGCAGTTAACAGGCTAACAGTGGTCCATAACTCCACTCCAAGGGATCTGATACCTTCTTACAGCCTCTACGGGCATTGCATGACACAATTGCACTTATGTACATGCCAGAAAAATGCTCATACACATAAGAAATATAAATAAAACATTTTTAAATGTTAGTAAACTGTGATTTGTAGTTCTGATAACCTTCTTTTTCTTTCTTTCTTTTTTTTTTTTTTTTGTCTTTTGAGACAGGTTTGCTCTGTAGCCCCAGCTGACCTGGAACTTGCTATGTAGATCAGGCTGGCTTTGAACTCACAGAGATTCGCCTGCGTCTGCCTCCTGAGTGCTAGGACTAAAGATGTGTGCCACCACACCCAGCTTCTGATCACCTATAGCAATGATTAATGTAGCATACAAGTCGGGCATGATGGTCTATCCTTCTACTTAGCACAAAGGAGGCCAAGGCCAACCTGAGCTGCATAGTGAGACTCTTATCTCAAACAAGACAAAAACAGTAGCAGAGGTAGAGAAGGGGTAAGGGAAAAGTCTTGATGATATTAGATATGTGGCTTACAAGGTAAGCAGTTTTGACTTAGAATACTTTAGGAAGACTATTTCTGACTGCAGTATGAAAAATAACTTTGAAGAAAATGGAGGCACAGAAGCCTATAATAATGTGATAAAGTGGTAGGTGACCAAACCTAAAACAGTAACTGTGAGAGTGGAAAGATAGATTTAAAAGGTAGGAGCAACTAGATTTAACTAATGATTCGATGTGGAGGGAAGATGGTGTCAGAGATGACCAAATTTTTGATAAAAAATTTCTTTGTAAATTCCTGGGAAGATGGTGGTACCATAACCAAAACTGGGACTTAGAAACAAGAATTCATTCTATGGCTGACCACTGTTTGCTCCCATCCACAGTAATACATCCCACAGTGAAGTGTTGTCATGAGGTTGAGTTCTTGCCAATGGAATGCCAGCAGAAGTTAGGCAACTTGTATAGCACTGTTATGGTTTGAATGAAGTGTGTCCCCATAGTCTCATCATATCTGAGCAATTGGTCCCCATTTGGTGGATACTGTTTAGGAGGCTGTTGGAACTTTTAGGAGGTGGAGACTAGCTGGAAGAAGTGGGTCACTTGGAGGTGGACTTGAAGATGATATACCCACTCCACTTCCCTCTTGGACCCTCTGCATCTTGACTACCCATGTTATAGAACTATCTATTCCATGCTCCCTTCGCCCCAGCTGTGAGCCTCTGCTGCTGCCATGTCTTTCCTGATTTTGTCAGGTATTTTGTCCCAGCAACAACAAAAAAAAGAGTAATACACCTTAAAAGAGCAAGGCCGGGTGTGGTGGCACATGCCTTTAATCCCAGCAATCAGGAGGTAGAGGCAGATCTCTGTGAGTTCAAAACCAAAAAAAAAAAAAAAAAAAAAAAAACCCCCCCCTCCTGTGGGGGGGACCCTGAAAAAGGGATAAAAACCTTACCCTTTTCCCCAAAAAAAAAAAAAAGAAAAAAAAAAAAAAACCCCCCCCTCCTGTGGGGGGGACCCTGAAAAAGGGATAAAAACCTTACCCTTTTCCCCAAAAAAAAAAAAAAGAAAAAAAAAAAAAAACCCCCCCCTCCTGTGGGGGGGACCCTGAAAAAGGGATAAAAACCTTACCCTTTTCCCCAAAAAAAAAAAAAAGAAAAAAAAAAAAAAACCCCCCCCTCCTGTGGGGGGGACCCTGAAAAAGGGATAAAAACCTTACCCTTTTCCCCAAAAAAAAAAAAAAGAAAAAAAAAAAAAAAAAAAAAAAAAAAAAGCCATCCTTCCTGTAGGCTGAGACCTGAGACATGGATATGAACCTTAGCCATTTCCTGCAAATGAAGAAAAAACCTTAAGACTCTGGATCTCAAACTTTAGCATGCACCAGAATGACCCAGAGGACTTATGAAAACATGGTTTGTTGAAGACAGTGGTCCCTCAAATTAAAATTGCATGTTGGGTGTGGTGGCACACACATTTGATCCCAGCAGAGGCAGAGGCAGGTGGATCTCTGTGAGTTCAAGGCCAGCCTGGTCTACACAGTGAATTCCAGGTCAGCTGGGGCTAGAGGGGACACCCTGTCTCAAAAAAATAAATTTTAATTGCTAATGTCACTTGGGAGGCAGAGGCAGGTAGATCTCTGTGAGTTCAAGGTCATCCTGGTCTAGCTAGCTAATTCTAGGCCTGCCAGAGCTAGGTAGTAAGACAAGACCCTCTTTTTAAAAAAAAAAACAAACTGGGCTGGAGAGATGGCTCAGCAGTTAAGAGCACTAACTGCTCTTGCAGAGGACCTGGGTTCAATACCCAGCACCCATATGGCGGCTACAAACTGTCCTTAACTCCAGTTCCAGGGGAATCCGAAGCCCTCTTCTGACCTCTGTGGCATTGCACGACACGGGTGCACTCACATACGTGCAGGCAATACACACACACATAAAATATTTTTTTAAAAAACTAAAATATATTTTTTAATCAAACTAGTCATAATGACATGCCAGTAATTTCAGCTGGGAAGCTGAGGGAAGAGAATCAACAAAT